AAAGTTTTCTCCCATATGTCGCATGCAGAATGATGAAAAACATGTCGGAAAGCATTTCTCTATTGCTTCTAAGAGGCTTTTCTGTCTATCTAATATAACTGTTAAGGCAGGCATATTAGAATACTCATTCTATAGCTCATTCAATATACTTAAGAACCAATACTAACTCTGGTAGTTCTCCTTTTTAACCGTTGTAAATGCTAATAGGAAGAGCCCATTATTTGCATCTAGCGCGATGACGCACAATAATATGCTTTGATATTTTCCTTCTAAGAATATCCCATCAATACCAATTAGTGGCCTGCATCTATTAACAAAACCCATAATGCATGGACGATAAGCAATAAATAATGATTTGAATCTGCCTTCATTTGTGTGGATGCGAATTTCGGTTCCCGGGTTGGTTCTTCATATCTTCTCCATGTACAGGGGGAGGTCATAGTATTGTTGTTCATGTGATCCATCTATCCTCTCTCTAGCGTCATCTTTTCCCTGTCAAACTTGCATGTAGGAAAGCCTGGCCATGTGATCACGTTGGATATCCTTTACGATGTCTTTTGCTTTAATTTTTTGTTGGTAAATAAAGTGGCCTTTAGTCTTTTTTGCCACCCAATCACTACAAGCTAGTGGCTGATGGACTCTTCCCATTGGACCACTACGTGTGTGCTCCTTAATCATAGACTTCATTTTAAAGTATGCGGTACTGCCAAATCGTAAGCACTTAACTTGCCATGTGCATCCCTCTGCCTTGCAACTTGCCCACACCCATCCTAAATCATTTTTGTCAAACTTTAGAACAAAATTACTGTGGATTGTAAGATCAATTAGATGATGCCGGCATTCATTAACATTTTCAAAAAATTACCCAACATTCCATTGAATCTCGTTGCCAACTCCTCTACATGGACTCTGTAGTGGTTCAATATCCGCCATATCACGCTCTAGTACAAGCTCAGGGTTGGGGGACCACTTGAATGTTTTGATCTTGATCAGGTAAAGCGTTACACCAACTGTTGACAAAAGATAGAGTGTAAGATGAAATAACAATTTTTGCACATATAAGATTAAAATAAAGCAATTTACAGATGAAAAAATAAATTGTAGATATACCTATTCCTTGAAGATGGGCCATTAGCAACATATTTCTGTTGTGGCTCTATTGTAGCGGCAATATATACTACAATTCTCGATGATTCCCCTCCCAACATAAAAGATACATCTATATCATTACTTACATCAATCAAATCAAGCCCACTAGATAGACTTGTGTTGTGATACATAATAGCTAATTTGTTTGGATCACACTTGGTTAGATTATAAAAATGACTTTTTAATTCTTCCTAGGAACTATTTCCAATTATAAGTGGTGACCTTCAATCTTCCCCCTTTATAAATAACACGTCTGTCATCTGCATTCGTCTTAAATGAACCCCCATATCGGAATACCAGTTGCACTCCCTCAGTAGCCATCGTCAATGCTAATGTATTAAATGAATAACAAAATTTGTGTTACCAAAATTCAATACAATAAGAAATAACAAAAATTTGGATACTTCTAACTACTTTGGGGTTCATAAAATATGAGTATTGCATAATAGATTGAAATAGTGTACTACTAAAAATGTGACTAGTAAACAATAAAAAAAAAAAAAAAACAAAATACTCAAATAAACACAAAACAAACAACACATTTAATACAAACAAACAAGTTGAACAATATTTAGCGAAAACAAAGAATACAATATATCAACATAATACAAGCAACAAATAATTATGTAAAACAAACAACTTTATCAATATCAAACAAATTTTATTTATTAATCAATAATACACAACAAATATTAATGACAAAATATAATATCATATAAAATATCCGAAAATAAACATAAATTAATCAACAATATAAGACAAGAGTATGAACGGTACCAATCACGTCCAAATAGTAAGTCAATCTCTTTAACTTTACGGGTTACTGTATTAGGAGACAGTACAAGGGGTATGATGGGCAAAGATACTTATTAGGGAACAGTACAAGGGGTATGATGCGCGAAAGATTATGTATTTGTTAGTTTCCCCCCACTTTATAAAAAATAAAAATAAACTCTCCGCCATGAGCGGGAAAATTTAGTACAAAAATTTTTGGTTGTTGAACAACCGAATTAAACATATTTTCAGTTGTTCAACAACGGAAAATGAAAATATGAAATTTTTATCTCTCTGGCTATTTTCTGATATTCAACATCCGAAAATACCATAAATTCGGATGTTGAGCATCCGAAAGTACTAAATTGAATGTTTTAACTTGCGCCCATTTTCGGATGTTGAACATCTGAAAACCCACAAATTCGGATGTTCAACATTCGAAAAAGGGTAAAGTTGTCTTTTTTAAAAAATAGCGTATAAAAGATAAAAATCGGACACAACTGTAATAACAAAAACTATTTGGTATATCCGTAATAATGGAAAGTATATCAGATTTTTACGTAATTTTCTCTAATATTTACGTATATTTACATTATATTATATATATTTCATTATTTATAATGAGAAATGATCCTATAGGACCCTCCTCCACCCATGTGTGTAGGATCCCAAAGGATCTCCATTAAATCTATAGAAAAGTCAAGTCCCACACCCATGTGGTAATTTTTTTAGAGACCTGTGCCAACTTTAATGGTGTTCCTTTGGGGTCTTACACACATGGGTGAGAGAGGGTCTTATTGGATTATTACTCATTTATAAATATATAAATATCATATATTATAGTATATATTATATTATGAAAAATATTATATTATATTATATATTATATATATATCATATTATGTTATTAATAAAATATATTTACATTTATATTAGAGAAAATACATACATATCCGTTATACTTTACATTATTACGGATGTACCCAATAGTTTATGTTATTACATGTATGTCCGTTTTTTACCTTTTATAACGTAATGCTTTTAAAAATATGAGTTTACCCTTTTTTCGATGTTGAATAACTAAATTGGAGGGTTTTTCGGATGTTCAACATTCGAAAATAGACCGAAAGTTTAACGTTTATATTCCCATTTTTGGGTGTTGAACATCCGAATTGAAGGATTTTTCAGATGTTCAACATCCGAATTGAACGATTTTTCAGATGTTCAACATTCGAAAATAGTTTTGGATGTTGGACATCCGAAAATAGTTTTGGATGTTGGCATCCGAAAATATTATATTTTCGGATGTTCATCATCCAAAAATGATTGAGAAATTCCAGAGACTTTCTCGAAATTTAAAGTCATATTTTCGGATGTTAAACATTTGAAAATATGACATTTTCAGAAGTCCAACATCCGAAACCATTTTTACAAGGAATACAATGTATCGACATAACCCTTCAATTCAGATGTTCAATATCCGAAAATGAGATTGTGGACGTTAAACTTTTGGCCTATTTTTAAATGTTGAACATCCGAAAAACCCTCAAATTCGATTGTTCAATATTCGAAAAAGGGTAAAATCGTCTTTTTTAAAAAATTGTGTTATAAAAAATAAAAAATAGACATACATGTAATAACAGAAAGTATTTGATAAATCCGTAATAATGTAAAGTATAACAGATATTTATGTAATTTTCTCTTTATATTATTAATATATATTTGTTATGTTCCTAGAACTTCTTTTAACATTCCAAAAAGTTATCAAACGCATGTATTCAAACTTCTTAAAATTTTTCAAAAACTAACATTTCATTTACTAGAATTTTTTTTTTTTTTACCATATAAAAAAACTACTTTTTTTTAAAAAAATCGTTTATCTTTAAGCAAAACAAACGTGCCTTCAGACTACTCAGTGCACTAGCTTCTCCTGCAAGGTGAAAAAGCATGCAATAAAGCAACAAAGTCGAAGCAATGGTCCGATGTTTTGGACTTTGGTGGACTTGGAAGACCTTTTGGACTTTGGAGGGCGCCCAATGCCAAAGCCCGCTCCATGCGCTCCTTCCACTCGCCACTCTTGCGCACCCAAAATAGCACATCCTAAGAAACCCTTAGGCATTTAAATAATGCCAAAAATAGCCCCCTATTTGCCTCCATCCGATGTCATTTAGTAGTAAGATTCATGCCGAGAGATTGTGGTCCATGAAACCCTTTCACGTCATTCATGTAAGATCGGTATTTTGAGACTGTATGAGTTGATTTGAATTGGACCGATTCACGATTTAGATCGATAATTTAAAATCCATATCAATAGATTTTCTAAACACTGTATGATACCAAAAAGAGCGCCTCATTTGCCCTCAACCATAATTTTCGTGGCATTATTTATTACTAACACTTCATGCCTTTATGTTCTTATCGAAGTATTTCATGCACTCCCTTCATTAAAACTAATTTAGAAAAATGATTGAGATTCTAAATTTTGGGATGTGACCTTGTCAACCTCGTTGTCTACCTCGAAAACAAATATGCCAAAAGTTAATATACGAAAATTAGAAAATGTGCTTTACGAACGATTGCTTGATCCGTGACTCCGCCGACACACCTCGTAGCATGCAAGCTTAGGATATATACAATAACTTCTAGTTCATTCAAGTCATTTTAATATAAGCATTTATCCATGATCAATTATTTGATCGTCAGATCGAAACCTTTTCTCAGGATATATACATCAACTTCTAGTTCATTCAAGTCATTTTAATATGAACATTTATCCATGATCAATTATTTGATCGTCAGATCGAAACCTTACTCTTCAACTATTATCGCACTCTCAAATGGTTCAGATCAGAAAGGAAAAGTTAACTATTACCTCATCCTCAAATGATTCAGATCAGAAAGGAAAAGTTTAATATTTGAGAGAATGCAAAGAGAGGCCAAACTCGATGAAATCAATCCTGACCGTCCAGCCGAAGGTTTTCTACTGCGTCATGAGGGTGGCTTTGGAAAATAGGTAGATGTAATGGACAAACCACACATCAACGGTTTCTTAGTCTTGAAGTTCCTCGGCAGTCTGGCAACTATAAACACCAGTCTCTGCAACTTCCATTTCAGCTTCAGAAAATTTAGGACAGGATGCAAGCTTCTCAGAGTACCCCGAAAGACCCCCGCATCATTGCCAGAGAGTGAGAGAAAACCCTAATTCCACTGCTTCTTATTCTCCATTGCTGTGAATTTCGAGCATTTTCCGTTTGATTCTCCTGCATTTTGATTACTCCCTTTATCTCGAGTGGATGCCCCTTATTTTCCGTTGTTTTTGCTCCTCTTTTACTCCTCTCTATAGATTTTGTTGATTTTGATTTGGACATTTATCTGTGGTTGTTTGTTGATTACAATTTTTATGCATTTTTACTCGTGCTGTGTCAATCTTTCTCTAACCTTGAAGCCCGGGTTTGTAGGTACCAGAAGAAGCTTTGTAAGATAGCATTGGAGGAGAACACAATTGTGTACTTGGAAACTGGGTGTGGGAAGACACACATTGCAGTGCTTCTTATGTATGAACTTCGCCACTTGATTAGAAAGCCATCTAAGAGTATCTGTGTTTTTCTAGCACCCACCAATGCTCTGGTTCAGCAGGTACCTTCTGGATACTCTATTTGCTTGAATGGTTGTAGTTTGAAAGTAAAGAGAAACGGGCATTCAAACTGTTTACTTCTCCATGTGTGTATTCATTGCTAGAGGATTATATTGTCTGATACTCTTGATGAAATCGGCTTGATATTTGGTTTCACTTTTAACATCAAACACAGAAGCCGGTTGTTATGCTTAAGTTAATGATCTTTTATACAGGAAGGGTCTGTTGTGCTGGTTTAAAGCTAAGCTTTGTTAAATGGGTTTATAGAGGAATTTTTAGTGAATTGATTTAGAATGTTTTGCGGTTACTCATTGATAGATGGGATACAAGAGGTGGTTTCATGCAAAAAGTGCTTCCTTTTTTGTTCTTCTTCTTGCTTATTACTGTTATTATTTTTTGACAAAGGGGTTTCTTGCAGGAATGCCGTCACTATGACCAATGGCTGTTGCTCCATTTCGGTGGATTTTTTATATTATTTGATTTCTTTTACATATAAAGTTCCATCTGTATGGCAAGTCTGTTTTACAGTAAATTTGGGTTGTCATTCTTGAAACATAACCGGCTAATGAATGGAGTAAGATATTTGGAAGGTAAATCATATGTCGCTACTATGCAACAACAATTAGCCTTCATGAAGAACTTGGTATATCTCAATGATTGTTTAGCATTATAATATTTTTTCCTGATTTATTCCGTATGCTGCATGGGTTAGCGGGATTGTCCATTAATTGTCTCGTTTTTTGGTCATCCTGTACATGTGTGATGAAGTTGAGCAATTCTACAACTCGTTGCTCTGTCAATATACATACTGGTTATTGAACATCTTCCTTGAACTTATATTGACTTTTACATATTTTCTGCTCGAGTGTGCTGAGTTTTTTAAGAATTCTTATTGTTCAGATAAATCCCTGTCACCAGTTGATCATTTTCCTCAAATAAATATCCTTACCTTTGAATTCACATTATTTATTGTTCTAAGTTGGAAATATGAAACTGAATTTTGATTGAAAACTTTTAATTTTTAAAGCTGATCTACTTTTCTAAATCAAAGGAATACACACAACAGGTCAAGCTCAATGATCACGTAATTTTCAAAATTATTTTGAACAAAGGCATGGTTTATTGGTTTCAATTTCCTTATTTTAGTTCTTTTTGTTTTCATGAAGTTAAGCCTTAGATTGTTTTCCAATTCGTTGTGGTAGTTTGCATTCCATTTGCATTATTTCAAAGTTTATCATGTCAAAGAGCATGCTCCAAGTGAGGCTGGTTCAACATTATGAGGTTCTTGATTCATTAATTTGCATGGCGGTGTTTCGTGTAGCAAGCTGCAGTTATTGAGCACTCCACAGACTTTAAGGTTGGGAGATACTATGGAAATTATGGGAATTTTACAAGTCATCATGACTGGGAAGAAGAGATTCAAAAGTATGAGGTCAGGTTGCCTTGCTTCATTCCTTTGGTTAGCACTTTTCATGGTTTGTATTATTATGTTTGTTCAAATACACTTCTTTTTATCCTTAGTGGCCTCTTTTCCTAAATGCTTCCAAGACTGTTTTCTGGTTTTACAACTTTTTACTTGAAGCCACTGAACATTCACTCAAAGAGGGAAAACAAATTGAAGAGAAAAGAACATAACATTTGAAGCCAAACAACAGGACACACTGGACTTCTCATCTAGCTGCTAGTAGAAAAACACTTAATTGAATTTTGAAACTATTGTGTTACAGCTAATTTTTTGGATATGAAAATGCAACTTGGTGTTTCTGTTCCTAGGATTGCCAATTTGTATAATAACTTAGCATCTAGATCATAGTATAGCTTGCTTGATTATATTTCTACTTTTCATGTTTTCATAGCAAGCATGGGATGCAAACCTTCAACCTAGGGTGTCAAGATAAGAGATCCAAACTTTGAGGACATAATTAAAATATAGCTTATCACTAATTACTAATAGTTCATAGGCATTTTATGAGTTGAATTCGTTTGTTACTAATATCTAGCTTTAGGTTATCATAATAGAGATTTGTTTTTATTTCTATTGATTGGAGCAGCATACCATTATGTTTTCTATTTGAGAAAGGGTGACAATATGTGTATTTATTTAGTGTGTTCATACAAAAAACTAACGAGGAGTGAGGTATAAGGCAGCCCACATGACTGGTGCTCATGATACAAAGATCATCAAAAAGTTAAAGAGGCAACCCACGGGGTGGGCGCTCTAGATTGTGAAAGGCATCCAAGGGTATCAAAAGGTGTTTGAAGGTTGTAAGCAGCCCACATGCCGGTTGCTCTAAAATGAGTTAGGAGAAATGGGCTAGAAAAGAAGAAGAGGATAATAGATTCCATCAGAAGAGAAGAGCGATGTCTCAAAAAATGCTAGGCAGCCCTAGGTGGCTGGCCTGGCATCTAGCACCCAGCGCCTAAGGTGGTGCCCAGGACCTTGATTGCCTTAAGGTGAAAAGTTTTCAGATATATGTATATATGTGCTGTTCAAATGCACATATATACAGATATGTGTGTATTAGTCTCTAACTCTCCATACTCCTTTGTGGCATTCAGTCATCATACATACACATATAGACATAGTCACACATACTCCAGGTCTCCACTAAGAGTATAAGACTAAAATATAAAAATAAATGCTCCATTGTGGCGTGCAATCATCATACACAATTATACACAGATAGACATAATCACACAGACTCCAAGTCTCCACTAAGAGTATAAGACTAAATTTAATTCCAATGAGCAAACTTTGCAATTCTTTTTTGACTAAAAAACATTTTCAAAATCAATCAATTTGAGGTTTTTTTTTTTAGGTTTGAGTTTTTTCACTTTGGTGGTATATAGAATACCCCCAAACCACCCCTTTCACTCTATTTCGTGGGTCAAAAAGACTCAAATTGGCCTCAGGGGCCTTTTTTCTTCCTCATCAAAAGGGTGCGGCTTCTGGGCACCCACCTAGGACTGAGTGCTGGGCACTCACCTCGGCTGCCTGGGTGTGCCCCAAGGAACTGGCGCCTAGAGAGGCCGCCTAGGTCTAGGCGTGCGACCGAGGGCTCTTTGGGCTCTTAAGTGCCCGAATTGGCGTCGGACGACCTGCTTTTTGAAACACTACAGACGAGGGATAGTTTGGGCACGGAATGGGGTATGGAAAAAGAGAGAGAGAGAGAGAGAGAGAGAGAGAGAGAGAGAGAGAGAGAGAGAGAGAGAGAGAGAGAGAGAGAGAGAGAGAGAGAGAGAGAGAGAGAGAGAGAGAGAGAGAGAGAGAGAGAGAGAGAGAGAGAGTAGTAGTAGTAGTAGTACGTACGTACGTACGTACGTACGTACGTACGTACGTACGTACGTACGTACGTACGTACGTACGTACGTACGTACGTAGTACGACGTACGTACGAGTACGAGACGAGACGAGACGAGAGAGAGAGAGAGAGAGAGAGAGAGAGAGAGAGAGAGAGAG